TATTCATTTCTGTAGAGTATAATGCTAATTGAATTAATGGGTTTTTGATTTACGTTGTTTTACAAAGGTCTCAAGTTTCTAAAGCATTCATCATTTTAAAGTGAATTCATATGTGTTACCGACTGACTACACAAACATGCTAATCTATTGAGAATATTCTACAATCGTGAATTATTAGATTTATCAGTATTAAGGGTTTATGAAAAAACAATACAACAATAGGCTTTAAGCTTTAAAAACATAGTATAATAATAATCTCATGCTGATATACAATTGTTTGTGAAGTGGTTTTTTTAACATTTGTGTCCTCTTAACATAGACAATTCATTTGTCCATTATATTAATAAAAGTTAGTGTTTGAAAACGTCAGTTGGACTTATTTAAACAATGAACACTTACGGGAACCGCAATGATCAAGAAACAGGTATTGTATTTCTTTCAAACGCCTGTGGTTTCGACAGAACTGGTCGTGGTCAAAGACTGATTTAGCCTTTGACTTGTCACTATATGACCTCGCTGTAAAAAAAATACCTCTAGGTCATACATCATCATCATCATCATCATCATCAACAGCCTTTAAAAGTCCACTGCTGGACATAGGCGTCTCCTTAGAAAGGAGGTTTATTTTTTTAGGTTCATACACACGCATATAAATACCCATTATTGCACGCCAATTAAGTATTGTACAATATAGAAATAGTACAATGGGTCTTATCCCAGTCTGCGACCTCTTACAGACAACCAGGATGGACTATACTGTGTAGTGGTACTTAGGTCTCTCGAAGCTTAAATTCTACCAACGTTTTCAGTACTGAGTCTGGTACTTTGGTCTTTTGATATGGTAGTAAGTGGCTCTAACTGCTAAGCCGGGGTCGTGGATTCCATTCCCTCCCACGACAAATAGTTGTGTGATGAGCACCATCATTCGTTCTGTGTCTGAGTGTAATTTATCTATAACATACTCGTATATGTTTTTAGAAATATTTTAGTATGTCTAACAGAAGTCTGGTTACCGTGGCACAGGCTCTGCCTAGTATGGGATCAGACTGCCTTGTGTGAGATGTGTGAGGTTATTAATATTATTATTATTACTTTATGTCCTCGTTAACATTACGTTAAGTCGTTATGTCATAGTTCTAGACCTTTGATGTTATTTTGATGACGTCGGTTGCGTCATGTGCAATGGACTGCTATGCAGGAAGTTGCGGGAACGATTCGGTACTGTGTAAATATTTGTATGCATGAATGTGTCTATTTGCATTGGTTTGGGTGTTTGTTCGTGTAATTTGTGTGAATTTGCTTTTCTAGACCAGCATCAGTTTTACAATGCATAATTATGACCGCATTTTAAAATAGTGAGAGTTTGTGTTTCTTAATATTTTTACCACATTTTAATAACGACAACAGCGAACTTTCACTTTGAAAAATAATAGGTTAAAAATAACTAAATATTTCAAAGACACAGCGCTAGAACTGAATTTTCAAATTAAAGACTCATTAATATAGATTATTGATGATTTAATAAGATTAAAAAATCATTGTATATACGTTATAAGACAATATTGAAAAAAAAACTGAAATTGAAATTTTGGTAAAAATGATATATTATTTAAAAGATTTAGGTTGATTCTTCTATTTATTATTAAGAAATGTGTTAACAACTAAAAAATACGTTAAATGTTAACATATTTATTATATATTCATCTGTGATAGTAATAAATACAAGGACAGTATAAGTTACACTAAACAATGAGATGACGACTGAATGGCGTAGTGTTTTGTGTAACTGGCTGCTATTCCAAAGGTCGCGGGTTCGATTCCCGCTCAAGTCAAACATTTGTGTGAATGAACATTTAATGTTTGATTTGGTCTGGGTGTTTCTATGTATAATAAGTATGTTTTTACAAAACAAGTATATATGTATTTATATCAGTTGTCTATTAGCCATAGTACAAGCTTTGCTTAGTTTGGGTTCAGATGGCGTTGTGTAAATGTGGTAGAATATCATATTATTATTATAGATAACCCAAAAGAAATAAAACGAAATTAATAATAGCCAAAATTTGAAGAATCAACTTCCAACGTCTAATTTCAAACATATTTACACAAGTGTCATTATAACAATTACTATTTCTTTAGACGTTCTGCAATATAATTAACACAAAAACAGTTTGCTCATTGTCTAGGTTCTTTACAATGACATATCCTAAATGGTACATATAAATACATGTGGGTACATGTGTTGTAGTTTTATCCGTGAACATGACATCTTAAAAAATGTCTACAAAAAAATAACTTATAAAAAAGTATTACCCATTAGAATGCCTCAATTTCGTCAAGGATTCTAATTAACTGTATTCTTAATTTACCACCCTTAGGAGGTAGTAATCTTTCTTCAAATAGAAATGGAACGGACTAGCAGATCCTAGAAATATATTAGAGCAACGTAAAAATTACAATGAAATTGAGACCGATCTACTTTTTTGAAGTCTGTTAATAATTCTAATTAATCGTGTTTAACATTTGATTCATTGAAAATGTAAGTTCAGTTTAAGGACTAGGAAATAGTTCAGCTTTCCAGGTCAGTAGCATAGGGCTGAGTATTATTGAATTAGTCAGTAAAATCTGCATGTCTCTTTTTGATGTGCCGATTTGTTTTTACGAGAATTACTTGAGTGAATACAAATTAATTACTTTTTAATAAACGTTGTGAAGGCAAAGAGTAGGTAAAAGTAAAAATTCCAGTATAAAAGTAGTTTCATATTGGTAATCAATGCCAGACCTACAATTTATTGTTCAATGTATTTTGTGAAATTATTGATTCCAAACTTAAGCTCTATGTACTATGTATGTAATGTATGGCATATTGTAAACTGAAATAGATACCTACTAATATCCTAACTTATGAGGCCAACGACAGGCAATTCAAACGTTACGTATCTAACTTATTACCTACCTATACATTATAGGTACTATAAGATGCAACTATAAGGGTAAAAGGCAATTCTAAGGACCATATCTAGGCGTTCGTACCTTTTTCTCATTCCGCATCACACTGCTGCGATATGCTAAACCACGCGTATAAAGATTTCCGGCCCACGTTGACCTTGGTGCATACTTTGACCAAGTTAGTACGGAACAAACCGTTTGTTACGTGTCTAATGAACCAAATAAGGGCCACCGTTTTGAGTAATGTGAGACAGAACTATAACACATTGTTGTAGGTATTTATCTTGTCAGACAAGTACCTACTACATAAATATACAATATAATCTATCTAAAATTTATATAGGTACATTGCATATTACACTAATGGTAAAATGTTGCATTGATTGATATATGAAACTTGCTATTTTAGAGTTGATGACCTCGTTTTTTACTTTATGAAATGAAACATTATTTAGGTTAGGTACACACACAGCGTTCTGGTTGATATTAAAAATGCAATATGGGTTCATTTGTTACGCTTTTAAGCCTAATTTATCAATGATCATGAAATATTGCATAACTTACTTTTAAACTTTCTCGTTCCATGATAATTAATATTATTTAACGGGAATTAACGCGATCTCTTATTTAGGCGAGTCAGCCTGTGACCACGGCCGATGCAACCTGGTCGAAACGTCAGGCAAACCAGAGGTATGTAATACCCTAAATAAGAGATCGCGTTAATTCCCGTTAAATAATATTAATTGCATAACTTGTTATCAGGACAATAGAAAATGACATAAGACCTTTTCTCAAATATTTGCTCCAAGTCATTTCAAGAATATGCAGAGATTTGACTGGCTTGTTGGTCTAGTGGCTAGTGACCCTAACTGCTACGATGGAGGTCATGGTTCGATTCCCACCCAAGGACAAATAATTGTGTGATAATCACGGTTATTTGTTGTGTCTGGGTGTATTTTATCTATAATATGTAGGTATTTAGAAACAAATACATACCTAAGTTATATATGTTTATCAGCAGTCTGGTTATCACAGCACAGGTCCTGCCTAGTTTGGTACCAGACGGCGGTGTGTGAGGTATTTTAAAATATTATTATTATTTAAGAAGGAGAAAACGTTAAATATATGACTATAATATAATAACCTAGTTTTAGCCTCAATTTTGCACTCGAATGTAATTTTTTTTCAATCAAGCCAGGTTTCCCGAAGTAGTTCTTTTTTACCATAATGTATGATATCTTGTTTTTCATACTCATTTCAGCGTGTACCCCAAATGATGAATGAACGATTTGTTAATTATTTAAGGCTTAAAAGGGTAAACAATTTAGATAAGATTAAGATTCACATTTAAAAATAATTCTTTCGTTACATAATCTAGATCTAAATTCTAAGATATATTTAAACACACACTAGTCTTTAAGATTGGACAATTACTTTTAGTTGAGAACTGGTGCAATGCAATTTTATGGTATAAAACACAACGTTTGTTTAAAGTAAAATAACTATTCTGAATCTGGGTCACATAAACATAAAAACGTCATCGTGTGTTTATAGACATTTAAATACTCATTGAAACAAATTAATATAATATAATATTTGTCAATTTATATGATGGTTGTAAAAATTAACATAAAGAAATAAAATAAAAACTCATCTCATACATGGGAAAGAAACATAATACTGATCACACTTACTTATTTCCATATAAAGGTACATTTCCATTTCTAATCAATTGATCATGATTAAAAATCAACTATGAACTATAACTTAAATACATAAGAATACAATTTAAAACATAAAACGTATTTTTTACACAATGTCACCTATTTTTCAAGATACAATCTGAAGATTGCGCGGATGGCGTAGTGGTATAAGCGGTCACCTCGCCCTTTCAAACTACGCTGAGTGTTGTGGGCTCGATCCCAATATGGAACAACACTATGTGATCCTCAAATTGTTGTTCTGAGTCTGGGTTTTCTTCGTGTCCGTTTTATGAATGTTTGAAATGTCCCCAGTTGTTAAAAATAATAAAAAAAAAAATTCTTTTGCAGGTATCTTTTTACAACGAGACTATCACCAAACAAAGCCAAATACTTCTTCCCGTGCTTTGACAATCCCCGGTTTGAGGCGGTGTTCAAGTTCAAAGTGTACATAACACAGAAGATGAAGAATGTACAGACTACTAACACAACTCTATGTATTGCTGAGGAACAGAGAAGAGACATGTAAGTTCCTATTTGACTGCCACGGTGGTGCAGTGGTAACGTATGCGACTGCTGTTCTGAGGTCTCGAGTTCGATTCCCGGGTCGAATCTAATGTTTGTATGATCTGCAAATATTAGTTTCGGAGTTTGGTTGTTTTCTATGTATGTATTTCCAAAAAAAAATATATAAAAGTATTCTATCAGTCAAACTAGTTTTCATAGAACAAGCTCTGCTTACTTTGAAACTAGATGGCGTTGTGTGTAAGATGTCCGAAATATTATTATTATTTAATATTTAGTCAATTATTAAATTCCAGAATATTTGAAACATCATACTTATTTGCTGGTCCTTTTCCATTATTACTATAACGGGGTTAAAGTAGAAGGGACGGAATAACTGTGGGAGAGCCATTCTATAATGGGGTAGGTATTATTTAACACGGTTCTACGGAAACAACGGCCTCACAGAAAACCGCTGTCATTCAATTTATTCCTTGCTTTTAGCAAGTGAGTGAGATAAAATGATCTCAAGCTGCCGGCAATTTTTTAAATTCATACCTACACCGTACTGGATTTGTTTTTCATGTAAAGAGTAGTGTAGAGAAAGTAGCATATTTATAACTATCTGACCCTCAAATTTCATCATCATCATCATCATCAACAGCCTTTAATAGTCCACTGCTGGACATAGGCCTCTCCTTAGAAAGGAGGTTTTGGCCTACTATACCACGCTGGCCAGACGGGTTGGTATAGGGTTTTTTTCAAGTTTTCCTTCTCTTTTCAGTGCTGTTGTCCTGCGTAGTTTGCTCCCTTACGACACCCACTGGATGAATAGGGGTGGTGACGTTCCGTATTCTTAATCCGTCACCACACGGACATATCGCTTCAGAATCAAAATTGTTTTAACTTAATTAAAAATAGTTAACTATTTAAAAAAATGAATTTGAAAAAAAGCATACAACGAGCGGCAACAGACCGCAGCACAATTAACTGACTTCGTTTTATCTACGTAAATACTAGTCGCGTTTATACTATTTTTATTCATTGCACAGTTTCACCATTATTCCAGTAACATTATTCTTATCCAATTTTACTTTCATCATACCTAGATAAAATAATAGTAATCGGCTTGACACACGCAAATGGTAACTCTAAGCCTAGGTAAAAATAAAATTTCTTTATCCCAAGTAATAGTTCAAGTTTCATAAAAGCGACCGTGCTTTCTATTTGAGTCAAGCTAGATGACTGATTAAATGTAGAAAATATTTTCAACTTTCCACTTTTGTAACATGCTTGCGTATTAAACCAGCTAAGGCGTGTTCTTAATGCTAACAATTTTTTAATACTTTTAAGTGTTTTATAAAAGTTGTTAGAAGGACAGTTAAATATATTGTATTACTTTAATTAAACGGTTTAAAATATATCGTTTTAAGAAAATCGTTGTTTTGTTTAAACACGGTTTTCTGTAAAATTGAATATTTCAAATTGTTTAGGTTAAATTTATCTTTATAATAACTGTCGCTGTTGTGCTTACAATAAATTAAATAGATAGCATCTTATGGTAATGAAACTCATTCATTTTTGCCTATATTAACATTGCTAGTATTTGTTTTAAACTGTCTGTATCCTGACACGTGTTGCTGTGACACATTTTGGTTTCATTCATGAGATAACGATAAAAACAATCTTTGAAGCGCGTTGTTAAGCATGTCAAAATTTAAGTTCAATCCGTACAAAACTTTTTGAGTTTTTGAATCGTACACAAATCAACTTAAAATATTTACATATACCTATATAAATAATGAATTGTTTAGGTGTTAATGAGTCTGCATTAAAATTAATATAATAAGACTTTAGAAAGAAAAACTATAATCTTAATAAGTCGGCCATAATAATATTAAAAATCACGCGTCATCCACGCTTCTACTTTGACCATACCCTGTACTAGACGGTGATCCTTATAAGGTGATCATTCCAACTACACTCTGAGAATTGTGTCAATTATTGTGATAGTGTAGTGACCGGTAACACATGGTGCAAACACGTTTTACTGGCGGAAATGTATTTTGAAATACTAGTGCCTCTTATGGGCATGATTAAAGTTAGTTTTTATACGAGCTTAGATTCTTGATTGATGGATAGCGATTTTAGGAGCGGCAGCTCTTTGTTACTTTTTTAGGGTTCCGTACCCAAAGGGTAAAACGGGACCCTATTACTAAGACTCCGCTGTCCGTCTGTCACCAGGCTGTATCGCATGAATTGTGATAGTTAGACAGTTGAAATTTTCACAGATGATGGATATTTGTTGCCGTTATAATAATAAATACTAAAAATAGAATAAAATAAATATTTAAGGGAGGCTTCCACACAACAAACGTGATTTTTTTGCTCGTTTTTGCTCGCTATTGATAACAGCAACAGATAGACGCTTGAAATGTTCACAGAATATTTAGTTATATATTAATTTTAATATAAATAATTAAATTTAAAAAAAAGCAATATAAACATACAACAAACGTGATTTTTTTTGCCGTTTTTATTGATAATGGCACGGTACCCTTCGTGCGCGAGTCCGACTCGCACTTGACCGGTTCTTAAACTAAGTGTATGGAAAATGATAAATAGTCTTTAGAGCAATACGTGTCTAAAGAAAGCCGTTTTTCTTTTTAGGGTACTCATAAATATTGGGTTATTTAATTAAGTACATTTTGTGCAATCATGTTTTTTTTGGGTAATTGATTGTGGCAACTCCCACATACAAAGAAACAGAAACATACTACAGTGCCATCTAAGGCGAGCGTCATCTAACTAAGACACACCGAAGTAAGGAGTAACTCCTTAATCAGAAATGCTAATCCTGTATCGAGATATGAAGGATTCTTCAGCCCATTAGCATATATACATCTTTCCAACATCAACCGTAGGTCCGCGACCTGCCAGGCATGATCACTTCGCCTGGACGGAGGATTTGCTCTTTGTTTTGGAGGGACATGACACCCGTTCCCCAACATTTATGGTCTCTCATAGACACCTGTAACTCAAAAGACTCATGTTCGTTGCTACCCTTTTAGTTCTCCTTCTCCCTAATTAGGAGGGTTTGAGCCTCCAGAAGCTTACTCACTCGGGGAACAACAACAAAAGAATGACTTGACATTGGTTTTCTGTAAGGCCGTGGTATGACTCCGGTCGAGCCGTGTCCATATATGCCAAAGAAATCTAGTCTATGGATGTCGGTATTTGTTAATTTGTTACCCTATTGTGATTTTTAACATAACCGATTAGAACCCTCTAGTTACTAATATTACATAACAGATTGATATCTTCTCTGTGACGGGCCTTCTCGTGTAGTGCTTAGTGACCCTGATTGCTAAGTCGCAGGTCATGGGTTCGATTCCCACCAAGAACAAGTATTATTGTAATCAGACTACCGTGTGTGAGCTGTGTGACGTGAATATTATTATTATTCTCTTGCAGTTTGGACGATTATATTATTGTGGACTATATACCTTCACCTCAGGTTGGTCTACACCAAGTTGGCTTTCACTACTCGCGATTCGCGAGCATGCAAACATACGCCAAGAAATGTAATGATACCTTCATTTTATGGGCTCCTATTGACGAAATAGATGATTTTAAGTTCATATTCAAATATGGAATTACAATCATAGATGTGATTCATGAATATTCAAGAACAAACAGGTCTCTAGTGCAAGGACCTATTAATTTAGTTGCTGTTCCTACAATTATATCAGGTTATGAGATCGGTAGCTGGAATCTGCTAACAAATGGGTAAGTGACTCAATTCATTAATATACTTATTGTGTTAATCTCGATTGGAATCGACAAATTTATCAGAGATCCTTTAAAATGTTTTGATAGTAGATCTGCTCTACGTTTTCTTATGGCTTTTACAGGATTACTACTTTATTTAGCAGTTTCAAAAATTTATTTTTCACTTTTCTGCACACCCCCTAAAGTAGACTGTGAGTAAATGCCTGTGGCATTCAGTCAGCCATTGTGCAATTTGTATTTGCCCACAAAGAATTAAACGAAAAAAATGTGGTTACTATCATTTGTTTGATAATCATGATCGCTTTTGCGTGTTCTATATTTTGTCCAAAAAATTTTGGAATCTTATTCGTTTCAAGACTTAAAAGATGGCATCATTTAAATTCATTATAAAGCATTGTTTTCAAATGTAATCAACATATTGGTTAAAGAAAATTGTCAATGGTACGGCAGCTGTTATATGGGTCAAGTATTAAAATAGAATAAAGGAGATATAAATTTCATTAATGAGAAAAATACAGAATATTGTTTTGCTTAATATATCCAAAACAATAAAAAAACCCATGATTTTTCTATGCCATTTCAATATCGAGGTAAAAATGTGGGTGTAGACTTCAACCTTCTAATGATCAATGAATATGAGCAAAACACCAATTTCACAGCAAGTGTTTCTCTTTCGAAGAAAACTTGACCTAGATGCTATTTGAGAACTGTTTATTTTTTGCACAAGGCCACGCAATGAATAATACCGGTGGCTATGATCAGCTGTTATTATAGTTCGAAACGATAAACGTGGTCTGTTTGGTCATGTTATTATTCAGTTGTTAAAAAAAATATATTGTGTTGAAATGTTTGTTCTGAAAAATAACAGACGTTGTGAATTTTAAATATATTATTATTTCAGCACGTGTTAAATATACCGATCCTTTTGATTAGGTAGGTAGGTCTTGAAACTCTGTTATACCCTGCCCTTGTCAAGTATTAAGATTGGTATTTTCATTAATGATTTAGTAGAAGAAAAATGAATGACAAATCGTAATATTTGTGAGAAAGTTAGATACCGTTCGATTAAAGTCATAGATGGCAAAATCTGGGCGTTTAAATCGCATCATAATTATTATTAACATAAAACCAGATAATCGGGAAATAATTCAAAACTGATCAAACTAAGGTATTAAAGGAATATTTTTTGACACATACGTGGCATAAATACCTTTACAACATCGTCAATTAGTGACGTTTTTAGTAAACTGAATAGAAATTCTCAATCTCTGGGTATTAAATAGTTTTGTAATCAGTTACTAAAACTTCACTGATTTATTTTAGAGCACATCGGATAGTCAAAATTGACCAATTCACCAGTATTAAACAAATTGAAACAATGACGTTTGAATTGGCTCAACAACTAAGCAGAATCTGGCTCGGCAATCCTGGCGAAGCTGATAGAACCAGGTGGAAAGAAGAGTGGTTCAAAGAAGGAATGGCCACTTATTTGGCATATTATTTTATAACTCAGGTAAGTGTTATTTTCTTGATTGAAGGTAATTGTAATAGCGGATGCGTATGAAAACTTGTCGTGTTTTGAACAGCAACTTCAAAGCCAACCTCCTAACCGATTTGTTCTCCCCTAAGAGTGAGATACTGATAATCTATTTCACTATCAGATAAAACACTTCCAAATAAATAATTATTGTATACTTTAAATTTAAAATATTGATGGCCTCTGATTTTTTTTAAACTTTTGAAATTCTGACATACAAAACACCCGCGACAGGAATTACTAGCATAAGTGTACATTGAGCTATTATTGGGTACATCCGATGGCAGAGAAACGATATAAAACACTTCTGTCACTTACATTGTTGGACTCGGAAGAAACACCCACATAAAAATCATTGCAAGCGCTGGAAGTTAATTTTTCTAGGTCAGCGTGGTGAAAACTGCAATTTAAATATTTAAGGATAATTTAGTCTATTTTAGACTACATTTGAAGGAATTGGAATTATTCAAGAAACCAAACACAAAGTCACAAGAGACTCGATTCTGTAGAGAACTGTAATCAAATTACTCATTTAAATATACCATAAAAAATATCGTTGCATGTAAGTGGGTAGAACACTATTGATCTCATTTGCTATTGAGTTCTATCAAACCTGATCAGAAATATAAGCAGAAGCACCCTTGGAAATGCAATTTTCTAAAACATGAGGATAGAGCGATTCGCTTCCTAATTTTATTTCTGTGTTTAACAACGTTAAGTGGTTAAGTGATTAAATTTAACATAAACGGATTTAATTTACCTATGTCCGGCGGTGGACTATTACAGGCTGTTGATGTGATGTGTGGATTTACTTCCAGCATTGAATCATTATTATTAAGGAATGTCTTTTGTTCCTTACTAAGCAACTGCTCAACATGAAAGGAATATGACATAAAAATATTCCAATTACAGTACAATCATGGCATCACACCGGTACAATGGCGTCAACTAGGCGAATATGGTCTTCAAATGAAACATAGAGCTATGGCTTTCGACTGGCATAGAACTACTCCAGCTTTAGGAACATTCAACTCTTCGCTGGCTATAGAGATACCATCAAGATATAAAGAACTAGTCCAGATGAAGACAGGAGCCATACTGTGGATGTTGGAGAACTGGGTCGAGTCTGACAAGTTTCATCAGTCACTAGTGGATTTTATTAATTCTAGGTGAGTGTGTTACGAGGTTTTAAAAAATTAGAACTATAAAAAGGTATTTTAGTAAATAGCATTCATATTTATAAAGAATATTTGTCCCCTGCCAATGCTTAGTATTATGGGAAAGCCTAATAATTAACTTCCGAAAGGTGGCCTTAGTTATGCACGTAGGTCCATCGTTGGGTCGAACATTTTTCTTTATTGAATTTAAACTTCTATTATAAACTGTATTATAAAAGCTGTACTCATAGTAAATAAACTCATGATGGTGAAAGTTCTATAAGACAGAGTATTGAAAATTTATGAAAAATCGAGATAATTTCAACATCTGTTATGATGCCAGTAATTGAAATTAATGTCACTATTAGTAATAAAGGATAGCCAAGGATATTAAAGAGAAATCCATATTCAAATAAGCATGGCTGCTTGAAATAGTAAATCAAGTAAAATAAATAATAAAATTATTTTAACAAGAGCTTTGCAATTGAATTTAAAAAAAATTGTCACTTAATTACAATAAGTCAATACAACAATTTTTAAACTTAACTTGAATATAAAGAACACATCTTCAAATCATAAATTAAACTGTATTTTATTGACACACCATAAAAAGCCATGCACAAAGTCAACTAATAAGCTGTGGATACGGGTATGTCTAAAAAAAAACACTTTATTGCAACCGGCTTAAGAGGAAACCCATTCTGTTACAGCCAAAAAGTCTCAAATTAACAAAAAAGTAATACCCACAAAAAATTGAATTTCAATGTAATTATCAAATACTAGCTAGAAGCCAGTTTGCATAGTACACTTAAATTAATTTTTGGCAGCCAGTCAATAGCCGACAAAATAGCCCATGTTAAAAAAGTTGAATCATTAAGAATGATAAGAATGAATCATCATTGTTAAGAATGATAAAAAACAAAACATCAACAAAATTATGTATTGGTGCAACTCGTTTTTACTGGTATATATTATTGCAAGATGTTATTGCCAAATTGAATATATCTGATGATTTGTAGCGCATTCTTTAAAATTCACTGGTCAGAAGAGTTAAGTCTTCGAGAAATCTTTAGATCTTAGGAGCAGATATTGTTTACAGTGCCTGCTGTTGCATGATGTGGACGTGTTTATAAGAACTACATTTTTAATTTCAGGAGAGGCAAATATATATCATTACAAGAATTCACGACAGTTCTGGACCGCGATAACATAGAATGTCTGCATCAGTTCTTCAACGGTTCCACTGCGTCACGAATTCTGTGGACTTGGATTCGTCGTCCAGGTTACCCGGTCATCAACGTTCAAGTACTCAGGGACAGGACACCTAATGCCATTCAACTAAAGCAGGTAGATGATACGGAAATTTAATTTTTGTATATCTTATTTCCTGTAGTCCTCTGAAGTTAAGAATTTTGGTTTTGAATGATTTCGTATCAAAAAACAGATTTAAAATTTAATTATCGTTTTTAAAAACATAAACTTATTCACATATATAAGTTTATGCTTTATGAGTCCATTTTAAACTTAATAAACTTTTAAACTTAATAAGAGATTGAGATTTGTTAATAAATCTTGTGCTATTTAGTTCCAGAACACAAAGTAACATATTAAAATATTGTTTTATATAAAAATACAATAGTCTATTGCACTTAGAAACACACACAATTACAACAAATACCTACAAAGTTGTCATGGAGTGGATATTAAGCATGTAATACACGTACATACATATGTAATATATGTGGATATTAGTTTGAATTCTATACAAAAAGACACCTAAAATATTATGAAGAAGTACCTTAAATATAGACAAACTTATCCACGGCATATTAATATTTACAATAGATTTCTTAAAATCAAAACTGTTGTTAGGAGTTACGTCGATTTCAATTTGTCGTTCCTGTTTATTAAAAATTAAAATCCATATCAACATAAACATCAACAGCCTATAACAGTCCACGGCTGGACATAGGCCTCTCCTGAGAAAGGAGGGTTAGTATAGGGTTTGTTTCAAGTTTTCCTTTTCTTTGCAGTGCTGTTATCCTGCAGAGAATATGCATATACACTGGTTTATTACAAATCCGTAAATTTGTTTTACTATCAAAAAAATTGTTGTTCATATATTTCAGAGGCAGTTTAGCTATACCGCCGAAAATCGCAGGGAGACCGATTTCCTGATCCCCATCTCATACATCGTTCAAAACAATCAAAACTGCTTCAACTGCTACCGTCCACGATTCACCATCGATGCCCAAGCTTATACTTTTGGGGAAAACTTGAATGACGGATGGATTTTACTGAACAGAAAAGGCTCAGGTAAGATTTCATTATCATCATCAGCCTTTAATGGTCCACTGCTGGACATAGGCCTCTCCTTAGAAAGGAGGTTTTGGCCTACTATACCACGCTGGCCAGACGAGTCGTTATAGGGTTTGTTTCATGTTCCTTCTCTGTGATGTGCTGTATCCTGCAGAGTTTGCTCTTTTAGTCGAGTCTTATAAATAGGGGGGTGTCACTCCGTAATCTTAATCCGTCACTACATTTAGATTTATGAAGAAGCAATACGAATATCAATTTGTCTGTATTAAGAAGAACTACAATATCATGATTGTCTTCATAGAAAAGACCAGCATTTAAAAAAGTCGTCCATTAATAAATACTGAGGCATGCACCTTACAACTTCTCACATACTTGGTTAAGTGTGTATCAACAAATAAAATACTAGATACACGTAGAAATAATATGAGTGGAATCAATGATAAAACTAGTATTTTAGATGAAGCCGACCGTGCAAAAACGCAATGTACAAAAGTCCTGCTTATATGAAAGATTTAATGTTACTAGAAGAGGCTCGTGAGGAATTAAGAATTACACTCAATTTTACATAGACTTGCATATTTACTATCGTACGTTGTATAAGGACATATATTTGGAAATCCGTCCTCACACATGTATTTGTTAAAAGATTTACATTCTTATTCCTTTTTCTAACTCTAAACGTTTCTCAAATAAAACGTATTCGCGCTAGTGCATTGCAATAAATCAGTGTTTGCTTGCGATCGGGCGACAGAAATAGTTTCAATGTTAAGCCAAGGACTTAACAAGTTCATTGCGATATTATTAGCGCTCCTTTTTATGATTCTGGTTATGGCTAAGTGTGTCGCTGTATGGCGGATTGACTTTTAAATTAATCGATACAGCTTCAATATAAAATGTCATCAATCAGAGATTGATCGAAATTAAATTAGTAGTAATCAAAGTTTTTCAACAAAAATAATCATCAAATAAAATAAATTAAAAATAGTTGAAATTGGAGAAAAAGCACTTTACTAATTTCATCTTTGATACATGGTGGTCGAATTTTGAAGAAGAATAATTTATTGAAATTCATTTTTTTAACCTGAATTGTCATAGTGCAGTTCCATACTATACCATTAATTATAAATAGTAGACAAGTGTACGTTAATACAACGTTTAAACATCATTTTTAAATTTGCTACTAAAAATTTTGGCTATTAGCGCTTCTATAAATAAATAAAATTTAAACATAAGTCGCCTTTTCATCTTAGTCACAACACACGTCCATCTTAACATCTGCGTTTCAATTTCGTGCAGGCGTTTATCTTCAATTTTCTTGTTCAATTTCCTAAATATATTGTAATAATGTTTTTTAATATTATTTCCAGGATATTATCGAGTTAATTATGATACTTTAACCTGGAGACTGATTGCTAAAACATTGAAAGAGAATATGTCATCTATTGATGAACTGAATAGAGCTCAGGTAAAATTTTATGTTTATTCAATTATCTAACAAGTTCATTTTTATTCAGCATAAGCAGATGAAGACCAACTGAAAAACAGCTTGCATTGCGTTATTTTATTTACGCTTTAAATCTTAAAAATAAATGTTTATAAAAAAATATGTGATTATAAAAGTATTGATTTACAAACTTATCGGCTTCAAAAAAGCAACCAGATCCACTACGTTATAAACCGATTAACCATAATTAGTTTCCTATTACGATACCTATCTACAAATCCATGTACTGTTTCTTTATCTTTTAGTGTCATAAAAATACTCATATTTCCAATGCGATTGTTTTCGTATAAAAAGAAAGTAAATTTACTAAAAGTTTAGATTTGAAAAATTACTTTTGAACGGTTATAATGAGGAAAATGAAGTATCTCCTTAATTACTTCCAGAATGTTCATATTTGCGTGTACGAAGCAAATTGACCTTCTATTAAGTATTGACGAGAGGACAAAATTAAATTAAAATGTTGAACTTCTTTCAATTGCAGATAGTAAATGATGTCCTAGTTCTTTACGTAGCAGGAGACATAGATGTTCAACTTGCAATGGAAATTCTGGATTATTTGGACAATGAAGGAAGTCCGGTTGTATGGGAATCGGTTTTAGATGGCTTCGAAAAATTCATCGTAGAAGATGCTGCTTGCAATATGAACAAATATTTATATCGAGAGTGGGAGGTACAAAATTTACTTTTTAAGACTGCCCTTTTGGTTTTTGCTTCTGTATTCTTTAATGTGTCTGTGTTTTAGGAGTTTTTGACGAAAAAACTATCAAAGATCTTTGGACAACTAGCAAAAAGCAAGGATCAACAGTTTCAAACAAGATTGTTCCGAAGTAATATTATAGAACTGGCTTGTTTGTTGAACTACGAGCCGTGTCGTGCACATATTAATAGAATGTATGTAGAGGAGAGGAGGGGTAAACACAAGTAAGTATTTCTTAACAACATATTATGTTACTAAAAAAATGGTCATTTGAATTATAACTACTTATATTAACCCGGCGCTGTTCAGGTGAAAAATTGTTACATTAAGATCCACATTGGGTCAAAATTACCCTTGTTCATGAAATGGCTTATTTTGGAAACTAACTCAAAATCATCATGCATACCTCTGTTTTGACAAAGAGACAATATTGTCAGTACCCGACTGCTGAGGAAGGGTTATGTTTTTCGGGCATATTGTATATTGTATGTTTGTTTTTAAATTTCTTTGCTACCTCGTATCTTCCAAATGGCTGGATGGATTTCGGGACTTAAGGTATTTTTTTATCCATCTAAAAAACCCAAGTGTCCTTAGATGGCTTTTCGAAAGAAAAAACAAAATGGCGAATCGAGATAAAGTTGTACTACCCCGACTCATCTCGACTTAACTTGTATATAGGTGTAAAATATAACAAAAATATTAAAGCATCCTTTAACCCTTTTAATAATCTGGAACATATTTTATTACTGTGGGAGAACAATTCTTCAAAACTTCAGAACAAAGGGACTGGTTCCCTAGAACGGAGTGATATCACGACCTCACAGACATTTCTTCATTAAGCAATTCCTTTGTTGCTTTTCATTAAGTGAGTGCTGTAGATCAAACTCCCCTTCCTCTCAGGTATGGGAGGATGGGGGGAAGGGTCAAGAGCGGCAACACACTTGTGACTCTTGTTGTTGTACCATCAGAGTGCCAAGTGCAAGTTTATTTCACATTGACTCGCTCTCGACGGCGAGCTCGTTTAGAGTTGCGATTGGTGGAGATTTCCGAGCGGGGCAATCGTAGCGCTGAACGCGGTCGCCGTGACGATCGAGTAGAAGTAAAATATTGCCATATGCCATAAAAATACTACCTAGACCCAAAATATGTAACCCAAAACATACGAAATTTTCTTAAAAATATTAATACCAATAATATAATAATATTCATTTTCAGCTTTTTCCCCGACTGCAGAATGTCGTATTTTTACATTTTAGCGAATCAAACATTGAGTAACACTTACTCTAGGAGGTTAAATGCAATTGAACAAGAGGACAAACATATTGCTGATCACAAAATGTAAGTCAAATAATTACTATGAATATATATATGTCAGTGCATATTTAACAGTTGCCCAACATCAGAATGGTTGACGCTCCTTGGGCCTACGCTTAGCTGTGGCAATAGGATGATGATGAATATGAAATTGTTTTTAATAAGAAAATTCTTCCATTTATTTCCAGGCGGGAGAGAAATCGATTTTTATACAGAATCCCAATCGGAGCACCAAGCCCCATGCCAATCAGGATGTCTACGACTGAACAGGTGACAAAATATCTTTTTTCTGCTACCTTAATACTATAGTGCTGTGATTTAGGGTAATATTGTAATCGGAGCCCCCCAAACTCAACATGCTTAGAACCGGACACCGGGCAACACTGTTAGTCTCAGATCAAATAAAAAAAGTGTGTGTATCAGCTCCGACACACGACTGAAGTTTACTCCTTAAGAACGCATACACTGTATACGTCGGCTACATACAAACAAATGTTATTAAAATAATTAGAAGTCATGTATTAAAGTTTTAAAACCATTTTAATTTTTGAGTCGACTACTCACTTAACTTAAACGAATTGCAAAAATAGAACAAAACAAACACAAAAAATATTTTTACAACCACGTAAAAGTAAATAGTTAAACTATAACACGTAACGAGGTAATTCGATCACTAAATTTTACTCGTCATATTTTTTATACCGAGCGCTTTATATGGAAATCGATTCTTTAGGAGTAAAGTCCAAAAAGTTAAGATGGAATTTCGCTAAGAATGAAGTGACGCCGCTTTTATGAACGTGTGTGCGTGAGCCAGTGCTGCCATAATTATTTTATTTTATTGAAAATATTGGTTTTACGCTTACTTATGTGTGAAATGCGTTTGATCACTTTTCAATAATGTCTACTTAAAACATCATAGCCGCTTGGCAAGGAAAACTTAGATTATATTTATTGAAAGACATACAATTCGTAACATGTTATTCAAAATAGCAGGTTTTTTATACTTAAAATATGTTTTTATTTATTTTTTACAGACAATCACAATGAAACCTGAAATGATCCATAAGGACGGAACACCATCTTTATCTGCCTCGATTATTATTGTTCTTGGTTCAATACTTGCGAGTGCTTTTAATACATAATGTAACTTTCTAAATACTATATTTTAAATTCTAAGGTGTTTAACTCTGAAGTGGCAGTTTATTTAATTAAGCAATTGGAGCAAGATTTATGCTAATTCCAATTGTGCAAAAACAAATATTTGTCAGAACTCCTGAAATGAATACAAATAATAATAATAATGTTATTTATGTACCTAAATTTAAAACTGCTTGAAAATTAATTTATAAATTTTACTATATTTAATAGAAACAGATTACTGATGAATAACATCTAGCTAGCTAGCGCAGACTGAGAGGAGCGAAGCGGAGAAGATTTTTGTAGGACACTCAAAAATGAACTATAAAACTATTGCTACAAAGTGCATACACAAGGCAACGCGAGCATTTTTAGTCATGTTGAAACATGTATGCACTTAATTGCAACAGTTTTAAAGTTTATTTTCGATTGAATTAAAAAATCCTCTCCGCTACGCTTCTCTCGGTCTGCGTTGTCTCTAACAGGAAGCAGAAGAGCACACGGTATTTGATGACAGAGGAAAGGTGGTATCATCATCAACAGCTTTTAATAGTCCACTGCTGGACATAAGCCTCTCCTTAGAAAGGAGGATTTGGCCTACTATACCACGCTGGCCAGACGGGTTGGTTATAGGTGGTATGTGATTTATCAAATATTACACAACATAATATATTCAAGTACTGTAAGGCTAGCTCGTTTGTTTGTCACTGATTCATATTCTAAAGACCTAAATAATTAACAAAAAATAAAACACATCATCACATCAACAGCCTATACTAGTCCACTGCATAGGCCTCTCTTTAGAAAGGAGGTTTAATGAATATCACATACAATTTTACGCAATTTCAATTTTTGTTTATTTTCTTCAAAAACACAACAGTGAGTTATAATGTCAGGTCAAGTAATGCCATAGCGTCTCTGCGTCTATAGATCTCAAAAAGGATTTTCTCCGCTCCCTGCTTCCAAGGTCTTAGTTAGAACATTCTATTTTCATAGAGGAGATTGAACCCCCATTATAATGCATTAAAACTGCACATATAAGACACAAACCTCTTGCAATCTTTGACTCATCACGTAATATTTTTGCGCCTTAATGTAAGTCACATTCCTGTACCATCTTTGCTTGAAATTATGTTATTATTTTTATGATCATCATTAAGTATATCTAATTCTAGTCATAAATATTTAGTATAATGTTAAAGAAACGATGTATTTGTTATTGTTTAATTTATTTTATTATGCACTGATTTACAGTATGTACATATTACACCTAACGATAAGTTTTAATTTATATAAATGTGCCTTCGTCATACATAATATTTGGAAAACTAAATAATATGATCTTACTAATAAATGTTTTTAACGTTTAATTTGTTTTTATTTAATAATATGTGTATATATGTAGGAATAAATAAGTATGCTTATCAGCAGCCATAGTATATTTTCTGCTTAGTTTGGAATCAGACGGCTGTGTGTGAGATGTGTCAGGAATTAATTTTTTTTTTTTTTTTTTTTTAATATTCTTATATTCTTGAAGGAGTAGGCAGAGGCGTATTAAATGATAGACCGGTTGACAAGAAGCCTGTTGCCGCCAACTGTAGAAATCAAATGGATAAATTGGGAGTAAATTAAAAGGAAATATAGGTAATAAGGAGAGACAATAACAGGTAGCATATTGCTTGTAAAGATTGAGAAGAATTGGGGAAGAAAGAAGAATTGGGGAGTGTAACCAATAGCATAAGTAGGTCATTGCCACATCTGTAACTCTGACTGGCTGTTGCTGTTAAGTCCGAACTCTTTACTACTTTAACTCTTTTAAACCACAATCATATTGAACTAGCTGTATCCTGCCATGCTTCGCTATTGCACCTTGCGGTTGCATTGACAAGAACAACACTGAAGCGAAAAATAGATTAAAACTTTAATGAGTCACTTACATTTGTTGTAGGTGCAGCGGCAACTGTGGCTAACAAAAGTGACTGAGTCATCTCCATTTATACTAAAAACATTGTAATTTTTTTTTTTTTTTTTTTTTTTTATATATATCTGCAATCGGCTTTCAGCCATAATCAGATGTTTTCTGGGATTAATTTGGGTCGGGTGCGATTCCATTAAACAGCACCGTATGAGTTGACAGATACTAAGTAGTTAGTTTCTCTGGTCTATGTTTAGTATTTGACATCTTTTCAGGCGAGTCACATCTTCATGTCGGTTTAATAGGTTCTTAGCCAGTTCATTTGTGTGCTTATTGAGCCTCTCCTTGTATCTCCTGCTTATTTTGCAAGCTTCCTCCCTTACGGTTGGCATCTCCAGGTATTCATGTATTTCCGTGTTTCTCACGAACCAGTGTGCACTTGAAATTGTTCTTAGAGCAGTGTTTTGAAATCTCTGGAGAATCTCGATATTGGAATTGCTAGCACAACCCCAGAGCTCCATCCCGTAGGTCCAGATTGGCTTTATTATAGTCTTGTATACGAGTAGTTTGTTTCCGATTGACAGCCGGGATTGACGTCCCAGTAACCAAGACAGACCTTTGAATTGTAAGGTGGCTTCTGTTTTCTTGGCTTTTATGTGATTAGCCCAGGTAAGTCTTCTATCCAGGTGTAGACCGAGATATTTCACGCTGTTACTGTTTGGTAATGGCTTGTCTTCCATAAGAACAGGTGGACAGTCGCCTTTTCGGAGTGTGAATGTTATTTGTGTCGATTTGGTTACGCTAGGTTTGATTCTCCACTTCTTAAGCCATAAATCAACTTTATTGAGCTGTTCCTGTAGCAGCAGGGATGCGTTGTTCGGGTTTGTATCGCTTGCAAGGCATGCGGTGTCGTCTGCGTAAGTTGCTGTTACAACTTTTTCTGTCTCAGGCAAGTCAGCCGTGTATATTGAGTAAAGGACTGGGCCAAGCACCGATCCTTGTGGAACTGAGGCAGTGATGTAATACAGCTGTGATAGGTCTTCTTCGTATTTTACTTGGAATCTTCTTTGATCCAAGTAAGATTTTAGGATCATGTAGAAAGAGTTTGGTAGGAGGGTTTTTAGCTTGTACAGCAGTCCTTTGTGCCAGACTCTATCGAATGCCTGTTGGATGTCAATGAATACTGCACAGCAATACTCCTTTTTCTCTAGCGATTGTCTAATTTTGTGAACCACACGATGTACTTGCTCGACAGTAGAGTGTTTTTCCCGAAATCCAAACTGGTGATCAGGTATAATCTTGTTTTCGTCCAGAACTGGTTTTAGTCTTAGCAATAGAATCTTCTCGAATACCTTTGACAGGATAGGGAGAAGACTTATGGGCCTGTATGAGCTAGGTTCTGTTGGTGGTTTCCCTGGTTTTGCAATCATACAGATTTGGGATATTTTCCATAGCTTTGGATAGTAATTAATTCTAAAAATGGCATTAAATAGCATTGTTAAAAATACTATTGCTTTTCTAGGCAGTTGCTTAAGGACTTCACCCGTTATTAGGTCGAAGCCAGGGGTTTTTTGTTTTCCAAGTAACGAATTATTCGTGCTAGTTCCTTTGGAGTGACAAGCTTCAGCGGTAGTGATAACTGCTGGTCACTATTGATCATTAGATCAACTTCCTCTTCAAATTCCGTCATTGATGACTGGTTTGGAGTGAAAACCCTGCTTAGGTGTTTAGCGAAAAGCTCAGCTTTTTCACTTCCACTTCTAGCCCACGGATCGTCGGAAGAGATCCTTAGTGGTGGAATATGGCTAAATGGTCTTTTAAAGCCTCTAGTTATTTTCCATAGTAAGTAGTTGTCCTTCTTGTGAGCTGAAAGCGTAGAAAGTTTTTCTTGAAAAGATGTATTCCGATTTTCTTTGATTAGTTCTTTTAGTTCTCTAGTGATTCTATTGTATTCTGCCCTGTCTAAATCAGACCTGCTCGTGTGTAACTGCCTTCGTTGTCTCCGTTTTTCTTTCAGTTTGTTGCGTATTTCCAGCGGTATATTATTTTTATGGGTGGAATAGCCTAATGTCGGGGTAGCACGCCACGCAGCGACTTGTATAAGGTTTGTGATATAGAACGTTGCATCATCTATATCTTGTTCTGTTTTAAGTTTGACCTTTAAGTTGACTTCATCTTTCAGATATTCAGTGAAAGCATCCCAGTCTGTTTTGTGATTGTACAATGCTGGCCTCTGTGCTCTGTGTATTGCCGACACGCTAAATGTTGCTATTATAGGGGTGTGGTCAGAGACGCTATCGAGCGATGATTCCACATCAAAATATATATCAGACAGTCCCTTTACAATGAAGAAATCTACTAGATCAGGTATCTTATTAGCGTCAGTTGGCCAGTAAGTTGGTTCGCCTGTTGCTATTGTTATAAGTTTGTGTTTATCAATACATTTTTTCAACTCTCGTCCTTTAGTAGTGGTCAATCTTGATCCCCAGTGGGTGTGTTTACAGTTCCAGTCTACCCCGCTTATGAATCGGTTTCCCAAGATCTGGAAGTAGCAGTCAAACATGTGTTGTTTTGGGTTATGCTTTGGTGGGCAGTAGATAGCGCTTACGTTAATAGGGCCCATGCGTTCGTTTATAGTGATGGTAGTAGCCTGCATCCAATCTTCTTGGAACTGACTGTGAAGTTGGTGTTTAATGTTACTTTTTACAATAACTGCAGACCCTCCGTGTGATGTAGTATCAGGATGATTGGTACAATATACGCAGTAGTTATCCATCTTGAAACTCTTACGATAATTAAGATGGGTCTCTGATATCAGAGCAATATCGATTTTATTATCTTTCAACAGTACCTCTAGTTCTTGTTTATTTGGCGTTAGGCCATTGATATTCCAGGTAGCAATACGTAATGACGTCATTGCGGAAGCCTACTGATGAGTGTCATGATGAGATTCATCATTGTGCTAAAGTGTGATATGAGTTGGTCGATCCTTTCACTCTGTCTTCGTAAAAGTGCTTCTAAGCTATATTTATTGTCCTGTTCGATTTCTATTTTTGTCAAATGTGTTCTCTGTGACTCAAGGTCAGCGTAAGTTTTTGTATTTATTCTCTGTGACTCTGTATGATAAACTTTGTCTTTCTGTGTTCTCTGTGGTTTCGTGTGGTTAATGTTATTTCTCGGATATGCTTTCTGTGTCTCTGTAAGGTCTACTACAGCTTCATTAGATCCTTTGACAGCTTCACTGTAAAGTTTCAAGCTTTCTATTACGCTGGACTGCCGACTTGTTGGTTGGGTGGCCCTGGGGTTACTTACAGGCTTGATGATTGTCGTGTCTGTGACAGTTTGGGACTCGTCAGTTGTAGTGTGGTTTTTCAATACTTTCTGAGTTGCTCTTGTTCTCGGATGTGGCTGTCGTTCGTTTCCAGTATGCTTTCTTGCTACAATTTCCTTATACACCTGACATCCTTTGTAGCTAGCAGGATGACTTCCTGAGCACAGCGCACAAACCGCTGGGGTGTTTTCATCAATCGGGCACATGGTGGTTTTGTGTGCTCCGGCACATTTCACGCATCTGTACGGCCTCATGCAGTTATTTTTGCTGTGTCCATATTGCTGGCACCTTTGACATTGTACCACAGTCGAAAAAAAAAAAAAACATTGCAATGACGAAAAAAATGCCATGACATCTTTCGGCATCATTCTTTCGTTGCCTTTCACTGAGTGAGTGAGGTTACCGGAGCCCAAATCCCCCCTCCCGCTGACTCCAAGGGCGGCAACGCGACTGTGACTTTTGAGTTGCAGGTGTCTATTGGCGGCGATAGTTGCTTACCATCAGGTGACCCGTCTGCTCGTTTGCCCCCTTATACCATAAAAAAAATCCACAAGACTTGTATCGTTCCCAAAAATAAGAGTACCGAAATAAGAACGCATCAAATATGCGCAAAACAGTAAATAAATAGAAAAGGCCCTTAAACATGTAAAAAAATATTACATTTAGTTTAGCCACTGACTTAAGAATTCATTTCTACGAGTATTAAGATGCTATAGCGATATCACAATTGATAAAATTGTAAAATTCCAAAATAACTGCTCTGTTAGATGCAACTGTCAGCAACGATATTGGAATTTGTAATGGCGTGACGCAATGATTTCTGATAGGTGACCGTAGTCTAATCAGGCAAAAATATACTCGGAAAGTTTTAATTAATATTTCGTTTTTTATATCTACTAGACTAGAAAATTTCCATTAAAAGCTATACCCCGGACCTCCTGAATCCTGGAATAGAACCCTCCACCTCACCAGGTCACCTAATTAGAGACAGCCGGAAGCTTGCCCCGCTCTATGTTTCACCTTAGTAAGAACAGGTCCAAGACGGTGAGTCCGCAAATGACAGTTGGATCACCTTACTCTGCACGCGGCCAATAATGTTGAGTTTTAAAAGGATTTATTTTGTGGGCAACAGAGGCCACGGCAATGTTCCTGATTATGTAACTCTGTGTGGCATCAGACGGTTCTTCACCTCCCGGTGAGTGCATAATGTGAAGAGTTCCACACATAAAAAACTTAAAATTATGTTTCAGACCAAATTGATTATTTACGTTATTTTAGGATCCTTTAAATTGACCTTTGACTGAATGTTTTTAGATTTGTTGTGTTCTTTTTATGTTGGGTTAAACGTCGTTAAAACCTTTCTATCACTCACTTTTCGTGTCTAATTAATGGGTACATCTACGTATAGTCGTACATACGTATAATATTACTTTAACTGACTGATTGGTTCATCAACCGCTGGGGATATAAACTTGAAATTTTGGATGCTGGTGCATTTTATGCACCTAATAAGGAAGGATTTTTGGAGATTTCCAATAAGGGGTAAAGTAATGGATAAACGGTGGCATGGAAGATCGTCCTTTTAAGAGTAAGAAAGTAAAAAAGTAAGAAACACGAATAAGAAATAATGACGAGTGCGAAACCACGAGCAAAAGGTAGTCATATTTATTCAAACAAATTCATACAATAACATTTTCTGATACTTAAAACCACGAAATTAGATTCAATCTATCACGATCACGAGTGATGCCTGACACAATAGATGTTGATGGCAATAAATTTGATACCATATCTGTAAAAAAATGATGAGTGGTTTTGAAATGCTCTCGAAGATAAGGTACAGTCTCATTGAGATCATCTCTATTCTCACGATCTTATACACGAGTCACCATTATCATGTGGATTACTAATCTATTTATACCATTGAATCTAACTCTGTAATTTAACAGAATTCTTATTTATTGTTATAAAACTTAAAAAAAAGCAATACGCAGGATACCAGCACTGCAGAGAGAAGGAAAACTTGACACAAACCCTATACCAACCCGTCTGGCCAGCGTGGTATAGTAGGCCAAAACCTCCTTTCTAAGGAGAGGCCTATGTCCAGCAGTGGACTTATTAAAGGTGACTTATGAAAGGACTTTGATGTGATGTGATGATGTGATGTTATAAAACTCGTTTAAAATTGAATTTATTTAAAACTAGCCAAGATGTGATTATTTCTTATTTTGTGTTTCTAAATTTGAAAATGACGAACTTCCGTAGAAACGTTTATTACTTATTTTACCCCCTTAGGGTTGACATTTTCAAATATACTTTTAAAAAAGCATCAGCTGCCAAAATTTCAAGATTACAGAACCAGCGGCTTAGGCTCTGCGTTAACAGTCACGTCAGTCAGTCAGTCAATCAGGGCGAGTAATTTTATATATTTGTATATATATTTAAAGACAACCCCCGCATTAGGAATATATCCTGGATCGAGGTGGACTCTACAAAAAAAAAGGGGGACTCTACCTACATACATGAAAAGGACACACAGAACACCTAGACTCAAAACAACAATTTGTGGATCATACAAAATGTTGTCTCATGTGGGGATCGGACCCATAACACTCAGCGTAGTAGTAAGCGGCGTGGCGACCACTTAAACCACCGCAAATGTTTAGATATCAAAAACTTGGGACAACTGCCAAATGTAACTATATGGCTTTTATGACTATTTAAAGTGAGTTTTTTTAAAAATTGTAAATGTGTTATTTCAAGAATTCGTTAAGATTTTGATAACATAAGGACGCAAAAACGACGGGGTGTTATGAACCGTTATGAACCGATTTTGATTTTGTTTTATTTGTTTGAAAAGTGAATTAGTCGGGAGTGCTCTTAGCTATGTTTGATGAAAATCGGTCCAAGATGGCTGCCGCCACAAAATGGCGGAGTACATACTTTTTCACAACTCCCTCCATATGGGTATCAAATGAAAGGGCTTGACTAGTTGAATACAATACACTATGACAAATATAAAATCCAAGATGTTTGTTTTTGGAGGCTTTTCAATTTTATGTTTTTTTAAACAAATTAAAGTTCCTTTCATTTGCTTTTACCGTCAATATCAAGGTTAGATTAAATAAAATAAAAGTTTACCTTAACTAGTTTATTTTCTTCATCATACTTACGTAATATGTACACATTACACTAAATTATAAGATTTTTCTAATATAAAAAATTAAATAAAAATAATGCGATTAAAATATTGTTACAACTTACGAAATTATTTTACCTCTACTATACTAAATTGATTCGTAATATTATTATTATTATTATTAGACCGAATTCGGAGCAAGAGGACGTGTTTGCCCCAGATTCAGCTTTAAAATATAAATTCTTAAAATAAAAATATTAAATAATAAACTATGAGTGAAAACGCATTAAAAAAATAATCTTATTGCTAACTTAATATATTTAAACATACTAATTATAACTATTATTACAACAATACTAAACACTGTTACCAATTTCCTTTAAGATACTACTACTAACTACATTTTAATTTGAATAAATTTATTTATTCCTATATACTAACCACTTTGTGCATTTTCAATTTTGATAACAATTATTCTAAATTCTACCACTACTTACACTTTTAAACAAATTTATACACTATATAAAACACTTTGTGCAATTGTATGTATTCTACGTATAATATGACAAAAATAAAACCCAAAAGACTTAAATACAAATATATACATTTCGCCAAACATTCTTATTACATTATGTGTAGTAAGATGTAAGCATTCATCTTTACAATTATCCGAATGGCTGAACACAATCCATAACATCTCTGATGCATTAATTCCCGAAACAGAAATAGCATGGACATTATAAACTCAGCCCTGCGTTCCCATTTAGTTTTCTCATTGTACAATACATCTCAAAATCTGTACAATATATTTTTCTGCTGAATTCGGATAAGAGTCTATCGAACTACGAATATTATCATTAACGATAATACTGAGTTCTCTTCCACAATCATTCGTTCTATCTTATTGTATCTTAATTCTTCATCTATCTTATAGTTAAACATAATTAATTAAATATGATTATACTTTTATATCAAAGCTTGTATTGTAGAGTACGTATTTCTATTTTTCTTAATCATATACTCGTATATTTATTAAACAACTTAAATCTACATACTTAAATATCTCAAAAATTTTAAACAAAACTACAACTACAAAACGTCACGTTACATAAAGTGCATAAGAGGTAATTAAGGTAAAAAGTATTAGTAAAAATAAACTATTAATGATTCAATAATGTGACCATTACTGAGATGCAAAATGCTGCAAAAGATAATACAATCGTTGAGGCATCATTCTCATCTATCCATTCGTAGACTTCCTCAATGTTGGCCTCGTTCCAATTTAAGTTTTGGAAAATTGTAAGGATAGCTCGTTGTGCTACATTTGCTGAGTTACCCAGATTGTTGTCCTGGGCGTTTCTCCAAATTTGGAACTGTAATTAAAATGTTGCTGATGAATAAATGCTTTTTAATATAGATTATTGTCATGAAATGGTATACCTTATAATCATCATTTCTAATATAATATCATACAGTAAAACATGTCTTAAACCTTAACACTTATATATGTACATATATGCATATGACGTTGAAAACAAGGCATAACATTTCTAATTGTAAGCTTTGACATTCTATTAGTATAAAACCAGCGAGACATATGGTTTGTTAGAAAAAAATTAGATTAAAAATAGAAACGCGTCTCTACGGCATTCATCGCCACGCTATGTGATAATAAATGTAACATGTGATGTAGTTTGATGTAAATCAATCAATTCAAAGGGTTTATTAAATAACCAATCGTCTTTTTCCTTTAAAAAAAATACAGTCGAATTGAGAACCTCCTCCTTTTTTTGAAGTCGGTTAAAAAGGTGAATATTATATTTTTGTACTACAATATATTTTTATTCCTGTCTTAAGCTGTTCTTTTTTATTTCTATAAAATAATTTCATTTTTTTTTCAGAGGTTTCAACTAATTACTACTTTCTGTACTATGTTAAATTTTCTGAAATAGGACACAGTACTTACTTGTGAGGCTGCATCATTATCGGCCATGTTATCAGCTAAAACTGATATGAGCGCTTCAAACCTTTCAAGTCCACCATACCTACAAAGAAAAAAATCATTATTTTTTTTGGTTTTGGTTTTTTTAAAATACAACTCCAGCAATAGGAATATATCCTGTGTCGCGGGGGACTTTACAAACATACATGAAACGGACACAAAGAACACCCAGACTTAGAACACCAATTTGTGGATCGCACAAAGTGTCGTCCTATGTGGGGATCGGACCCACAACACTCAGCGTAGTAGTAAGCGGCGTGGCGACTGCTTAAACCACTACGCCATCCGTGCAGTCAATTAAAATAAGAAGTACATTTAAAATGAAATACTTATTTTTAATAATAATCTTTACGTTTTTGACAATGAAAGAATTTGTGATTTTCTGAGTGTATACGGGTATCACAAGAAAATCCTTAACGTGTGGTTAAGAATATAGGATTTTCTTGTGATACCCTGATACTGTACCCTATACTCTAGTTGTCTAGATGGAAAAAAAAAACAAAACAAAAAAAAAGGTTTCATTCCCGAATTGAGCCAATGTAATAATAAATATTAACCTCACGTGAACATCTCAAATACGGTCACATTTTCTGACTACAGACTTTTAGACTTTTCCCGTTATGGAATTTAGTCATCAGTATGGCATTTAACTGTAAATTTATTTTTACTAAAGAATAGTAAAAGTAATGCACATGAAACAAATGACATAGCAAACAAAAAAAACAACAAATATTAATACATACATCTCAATTATCTGCTCGGCATTCGCAGACATAAAATTAAGAGCAATCATAGCATTGTCGTAACTGCTCTCCGCTACAGCAGCGAAGATTTTACTACGTTCTTCAACACTATAAGTATTTCCCGATATGGTTTCTTCTAAAAGCCTGTAAATTAAAACATAAGGTTACACGTAACTTTGGATAACATAGAAATCTTTTAATTTATTAAATTAAAATCAAACAATATAATCGATTTTTTTAAACATTTTTTTTAGGTTGGTTAATTGTTAAGAAAATATAACATTAAAACTTTCATAGATTCTTTAGCAGAATGAATAATAATATTTCATACTTACGACATGATAAAATCTCCATCTTGTGAGCAAGCCCACGATTCTAAAATAACTAGTCTCTCGTAAAGTGTGTTTTCAAGGTTAAGTCTTTCCTCCAAAGCTTCAATAATATCCTCTTCGCCTTCTCTAACCATGGTGCAGTACACAGCTGGTCTTATCTCATGTGGAATATTAGGATTACTGCAATTCAAATAATTACAGTCAATTCTTCGTTTTATTCAAAGTATATCTATCGGACTTTACTCTAATTAAAAGTAAATTTTGTAAGAAAACACTGCATCATTATCAAATACTTCACAATTATCATCATTGTAACGTATTTTTACTCATTTATTCTAATGATCTTATGTTCTTCATCATTAGTTTTTTTTTAAATTTAAGATTTTTTCGAAATTATTTCGTATTGGAGAGTAATATAAATAGTTACTTTTATATTCTGATTTATATGGACTGATACTTATATCTTATTAATTTATTAACTAAGAAATAATTTTTAAGGCTTGCTTAGACATACTAATAGTAAAAATATTAAGTACAAGAACATTAAGAAAATACTTACACAATTTCACCATTGTTTTGATCCCAAAACAACTCTACTGCTGCAGCAATACATGGGTCATAATTGGCCTTACAAGCATGTTCCATCACTAAACCTCTAGTTAGTGTATGCATAGCTGGCTCGAGCAAATTTAACTCTGGTTCAAATCCTAATTCTTCTTCAACCGCATGAATAGTTCTGCGCACCATTCGCTAAAATTTTAGAAGTTAATATGCTTTTAAAGAGCATTTAAATATCTAATATCCTTCTTAAGGTTGCCTGCAAGGTTACTCATCTTCTGTTATGTGTTAACTGTATGCAATGAAGATATAAATATCCCCAAGAACCTTTTTCCCAAACTAGGTTGGGGTTAACCTTGAGTCCACTACGATACAGCTGAACTTCAATTTTTTACGCGGAGCGACTGACATCAGACCTCCCCAACCTAGGTACTAGGCGATATCGAAGTTCTGTAGAAAGACTGTCGTTAGACTTTTGAAAGCTCTAACAAAATAAATATAGCCTTATTAATCTGCTTTCCATTGCAATGGACCTTTATCAGAACTTAGTAAAAGTTTCGATAGTAAAGAATTATTTTTACGTCATCAACAGCCTATACTAGTCCACTGCTGGACATAGGCCTCTCCTTAGAAGGAGGTTTTGGCCTACTATACCACGCTGGCTAGACGGGTTGGTATAGGGTTTGTTTCAAGTTTTCCTTCTCTTTGCAGTGCTGTTGTCCTGCTTAGTTTGCTCCCTTAGTCGGCTCTTACGACACCCACGGGATGAATTGGGGTGGTGACAATTTGTATTCTTAATCCGTCACCACACGGACAATTTTTACTTTTACGTAGTACTACTTATCTAGATAGGTTCTATTCAGGTAGACAATGCTGATGAGCTTAATTTCTAAAATAACCGACACACCGAATATGACATTTAATATTACGTAAGTGATGAAAGTAAAGAAGTTTAAATAGATTTCTTACTAGATAAATGTCAGGATATAATTCATTTACAGCAACATAGGGTAGAAGACGTTTTCTCAAAAACTCCATATTTCTGACGAAAGCTTTCCAGACAGCGTATTCTGTTTCATGCTCCATTGTGAGAACAACTCTGAATGCAATGTCGTAATGTAGTTTTCCTGCTCTTGCTAGGTTCAGGGCGTCGTCGACGAGCTAAAAAGAGCAATACGCTTAAGTGAGTCAAAAACTACGTTAATATCATGGAATTGAATAAATTTTCTGACTCCCCCCCCCCTTTAAAGCTAAGAGAAGGGAGTAGTTATCCGAAAACCTTACTCACTCAAATTCAACGAAGGGATTTCGTAACACCTATTTTCTGTGAGGTTTTGGCATCATTCCCGTCGAGCCGGCCCACGTGGGCCAAAGTATGGTATTCCCACAATGTCTTCAAGTTATATTGAATACTCTAATCTCTACCGAAATTCATTTCTGTTATCCCCGTGATTATAATATACAGATCTCCTGGCTGACCCATCAGGGTGAAAATAAAACCAGTATTATGCAGTAGTGATGTTAATCGTCTATGTTTCGTAAGTTGGAACCTTACGATACCTATCCCCAAAAACCAGTTTATATATTTTTTGTCTCTCTGTCTGTCTGTTAGTTCCGGGTAACCATCAAAACGGCTTGTCCGGTTTTTATGATATTTTAGTCTTTCTGTTTATTTTAGCTAGTCTTATATATCAAATTAGTTGTTTCGTTAGCCTTACTCGGGATTGGCTGGACAAATTTGGATAATTTTAGTCTTGAAAAACATTTGTGGTAGTCCAAGGAAAGTTTAAACGGGGCAAAAATATGTAAAAAATCGAGGAAATTGGTAAAAACAGCAATTTTATTTTTCTGTGTATTCATTTTTAGAAGTTGCTTGGGTCAACTAGTATTATGTATAACAATGAATTGCTGTTCGTTAGTCTTACTAAAACTCGGGAATGGTTGGACTGATTTGGCAAATTTAGGAAAAAATATGGGAAATGCGAGGAAAATAGGAAAAGTGGGTTCAAAAATTTATTTTGTGCCTAAACTAGTAAAGAGATGACAAGCTACAATAAAAGAAATCAAAAATCAATTTCCATAATCTAGCCCTATTTCCATAATTTATGATGGCCGGATGGCGTAGTGGTTTGTGTAACGGACTGCTATTCCAAAAGTCGCGGGTTCGATTCCCGCTCAAGTCAAACATTTGTGTGCATCAACATTTTAACCTATAGTTTTGAGTTTGATTTGGTCTGGGTGTTTCTATGTATAACATGTATGTCTTAAAAAAAAGTATATATGTATTGTGTGAATGTGGTAGAATATATATTTTTATTTATACTCATAATATAAAGCGAGTGAATTTGTTTGTTTGGTTCAACGCGTTAATCTCAGGATCTACGAGTGCAAATTGCAAGATTTTTTTAGTGTTGGATGGCCCATTTATTGAGGAAGGCTTTAGGCCAACATCACACTACGACCAATAAAATCCGAGCATCCATGAAAAATGTTGCATAAACGGAGAAAATATATTCTTTTGAGAGATGCAGGCGAAATTCAGTAATCAATAACAATTGAATCGATTTTTCTAGTAAAGCTATTAATTTTTTGATTGGCAGCAGAAGTCAGCACAAATAAGTTAGCCATGGAACTAGTTACCTCTTCTAACAAGGAGATTCTATGGACAAAATTTCAAAAATCTATTCACCAACATAACGCACGAGTTAGTTATCGTTCAGGTAAAAAAAAACTTTTATACCACAATTGCAAAACTACTATAGTTATAGGCGAGTATATTACATCTGCCCTGTCAAAGTTCTTCAGGCAAAGTAACGGTAGTCAAAGGATATTTCTTCTAAAGGTAGATCGTGGTGTGTCTAGACTTCTTACAGATATTTCATCATCCGTTTATTGAACGAATGACTGGCATCCATTCGCAGCCTACCATTTTTCTCAAGTGCCGCTCCATCATGCCATAGGGCGCCCTACACTACGTTGGCTTCATCTAATTTAAAGTTATTACATACCTTTGAATTTGGTCTGCCTCTGATCACGGCCAGTTACGTAATACTTTTAAATCGCGTTGATTTTTAAATTGTAAAACTTGAACGTTTAAAAGTTAATTACATTAATACGGCTAATTTACTGAACACATCGAAAAGCTGGCTGTAGCAGCATCCTTATATTCTATGTATACGAATAAAGAGATGTAACACTTACAGTAGCACGATTTAGTGGATGTATTATTTCTCTCGTCTCTGGGTCTTCAAGAGTTTCAATAATTCTTTCCCAAAGTATATCGTCATAGTTAACACGATAGTAACCTGAAAATAAGTAAAAATAACTATTTTATTTTTGCCTTCATAAAAATTCCACAATCTCTGGAAATAAAATTATGATTTGAAAATTTATTTTTGTGTAAGATAGAGCATTTAATAAGGAAGGTTAAAGAGTTGGCAACATCACGTTGCAATTCTTAGCAGCTGAGTAGTGCCCATAAACACTTTTGAAATCTTCGAGAGGATCATGATTTCTAAAATAACGGTAAAGTTATAAGACTAATCTTGACGAAATACAATGAATTATTTAAACAGCTTATCGCAGTTTGCCACTGGATTTAAGAATCTTCTAGTTTTAGTATTCTAAATTATTCGCATTCAATCTATCTCCTATAATCCTTTTTGATATCTGGTCAATTTGGGAAAAATTAGTTATTACTTTGTTTAAAAAAAAATGCCATTCAACTAACCTTGACCCTGAATATTAAACAATATCCAATCTTCTGGTCCTACAATAACAGGAATCGTGAAACTGCCATCAATCACCATTGACGGGTGATAATTTAAGAAATTTGGAACAACACTAGTGGTAAATGTTATGGGTATTGGGAAGTTCCGTACCTGCTGCGTTCCAAAACTAAAATGTTCCTAAAAACATAAGTAGAATCATAAAAAATATTGTGATATTTTGCAAATAAAAACGAGCTTTCAAAGATGTATTTAAGACATTTTTGTGGAATTTCTTTTTTGTAATTATTAAGAATCTAATATATGAACATCGTGTCACGGTGTATGTGGTAGCACTCCTCCAAAACGGCTCGACCGATTTTAATGTTTTTTTTTTGTGAATTTAGCATGTGTGTAGTTTTTCATCCTCCTATCCCCACCCAAATTTTTAATCTCGATTTGATTTCTTTCATATGTTTTATGGCAGAACAACGTTTGCCAGGTCAGCTAGTAAAATAACTTGTAACTGTTACAAAGACTTTATATTCACCCTGAAAATGGATACTGGATCTTTAATGAAATTAGTAATATTATATGGAATTTGTAATGTTAGATAAAAAAACCATCAAAAAATTTCGAAGTTGTAACAAATACGCGTTAACTTATCAGCCTATTACCTTCATCATCAACAGCCTTTAATAGTCCACTGCTGGACATAGGCCTCTCCTTAGAAAGGAAGTTTTGACCTATTACCTTCAGCAGTATAATATTTACCTGTGTTACTAGAACTCCTCCCTGTCTTACGCTAGCATGCAAAAGAGGATAGCCCGCGATATCTTTCCATTGGCCTAGAAAATCATGAACATTATCTATCATATCATGATTGCCGTCTGCTAGCCAATCGCTGTTGATTGCATCCACCAAATGCAAAGAATGGACCGTATCCATTGCTCTGTCAAAACAATATTTATTACATTGGTTTTATTGTAAAAGAGAAATCATGCTTTATTATTATTCCTGTGGACTTCACAAGATACAAATAATATACCAATAGATTCGGGACAACTGTTTCTGAATTACACATTTTATTTTGGGTCTAATCTAAAATCTAAAATCCTGGGATAATGAAATAAAATTTGTTATTGCCTTTTCTTATTGATCTTTATAGCTATCCAATAATTTCTTTTACGACTTGTGATAGTATACATTTTATAGTCTAATAATAAATAAATAAATTATGATATTAAATTTGTTTGCTCAATGCCGATAAGGTGTGTAAAGTTTTAACGGTAACATGTCTTTACATAATCTGAAACTTTGTCAAATTAATTGACTTTCTTGATTTTAGAAGAACTTATAAACACAAAAAGTTAATAAAATTATCAAAACTTCGTAGTTTAAATTAGTTTTTTTAAGTAATATGTAATTAACTATTTTACCTTCGATTCAGCAATGATCTAGCTGCAGTTTGTATGAAATCCTGATCTGGGTCACCTAGCACAATTCGCATCATTCTTAGTAGCGCTGGAGCCTTTAGTTTAAGCAGGCCGTTAACGTGGTCTCTGATATCATTTTCATTAAACAAGTCTCCGCTTGCCTCCAAAGGCTCAGTGCCCACATAAGCATCACGAAGCAGACTCTCTTGGATGACATCAGTCACAAACAACGTATTGACGTCTAAGAGAGTAACATCTTCAATCAAATCGTTTGTTTGGAACTGTAAACATATTTTTAATATTTAATTAAATGGAAGAAAATTTTAGATCAAATATCCTTAAAGATTATTGTATTCTCATTTTTTGTTAATTTTTTCCTTTTACGGTTACTTCCTTTACGATATCTTAGTGTATGTAGAAGACTTTTAGCTCTTTTGTTGTCATTGTATATGTATTGCATTGTATGTTATTTAACTTATTTATTAATAACAGGTGGGCCAAAAGAAATCACCCTATTGGAAGATGCTCTTATTTTTGCAAATGGCGGCCAATGTCAAATCTGTTTTAACATTTGTAAACTAGACAGAAGTAGAATACAAGTGAACAAGCCATGGAGCGATACACTCACCAAGAACGCGGCACAATCGTGTCTATTTTTTTGCGTAACAATTCGTCTGTGGTGTTGGCGCAGCGCGAATTCCGTCGCCGATTCCCCGGTCGTCCGGCACCGACTGCGCGAACACTGCGCCGTTTGGCCACCAACCTTGAAGAGTATGGAACCACACGAGACGCTGCCAAGAGTGGCCGACCCCGGAGCGCCCGTTCTGCCGAGAATATCGCCGCTGTTGCCGAGGATGTCGAGCTGTCGCCAGAAACATCGACCAGACGCCGTGACTCGCAATTAGCCATCAGCCGGTCGTCCCTAAGGCGAATTTTAGTCAAAGACCTGCGCATGTTCCCGTACAAAGTCCAGTCCGCGCATCAGCTGCTGCCTGTCGACCGCCAAACGCGTGCAACCTACGCCCAAGCCATCCTCAAACTCGAGGACGAAGTGGACGATTTTTCGATCAAAATCATAATGAGCGATGAGGCTCATTTCCACCTCAGCGGGTACGTGAACAAGCAAAACTATCGCTTCTGGGGCACCGAAAATCCACGAGTGATGCACGAGGAGCCATTACACCCGCTCAAAGTGACTGCATGGTGCGCTGTTCACGCTGGAGGAGTCACCGGGCCATTTTTTTCGAGGACGCCACTAGTCAAACGACAACAGTGGACGGTGCGCGCTATAGGGCCATGTTAACCCAATTTTTTTTCTGCTGCAATTGAGCGAATTAGGACTGGAGGACATGTGATTCCAACAGGACGGAGCAACGGCACACACTGCGCGAGCCACAACCGATATTCTGAAGGCGGAGTTCCCGGGTCGCCTCATCTCTCGTTTTGGCGATATGCACTGGCTCGCAAGATCGCCCGATTTAACCGTTCCAGACTTTTCTTGTGGGGTTTTTTGAAGTCCCGTGTTTACGTGAACAAGCCCAAGACCCTGGAAGCCGTCAAGGACAACATTAGACACGAGTGCGAGAATCTGTCGCCCGAAGTTCTCGCCGAAGTGATGAAAAATGCCATAAAACGAGCCCGTATAGCAATCAATTGTGGCGGCGCCCATTTGGCCGATATCATCTTTTCGACTTGACCAATAAAATTCTAAAAGTTCAAATAAACATAATCAAAAAACAGAATTGAAGTTTTTTATTCAGAAAAAAAATGAGAGCCAAACAATATCGGATGACTTCTTTTGGCCCACCTTGTATAAATTAAAGCATACCAATCTCATCATTTCATAAGCCGCGTAAGAAGCTAGACCAGAAACGACCCACTCAAAACGCCAATTCTCGGGGTGAATTACATATCCAAACCACTGTTTTGCTATCGCATTCGCTATTTCGTAGAAAGCTGTCTTCCTTTGCTTGATTGAGTGTTGTGCTTCCATTAATAAGTGAGGCTCCCTAAAAGTAAGTATATTTATAGTTATTTGTTTAAAATACGTCTACACAAGATTTTACTGTAGGATCATGATACAGCTCACGCAAATTAAATTTGAACTTATAGTAATTGTTAGCAACTTAGAAATGTTTTTCATGTGTGACATTTTTTCTCTCGCTTTCCTGCAAATTTATTTCATATCTGTTCGCTCGTCATGGTGCCCGCGTTTGGCGTTGCTGTTGACCTGTACTGAAAACTTGACCTAAACCTAAAGGCCTAGTCATATGGCCTAAGGGACATACAGGGATAGAAGGGTGTAATTGGAAGCTAGGAAAACGCTCGAAATTTGATTTGTCCAATGAGCGCGTGGCGTGAATTAAAGTTTCGTTGAATAAAATATTTGTATATCAAATGAACATATTTGAGTTTGGCTACTCAGTAAATCATTATATTTAAAATACAATGTACCTACACGTTAAATATATTGACTTATTTTATATTGAAAGACAGCTTTTTAGTTCTTATACTCGTAGCTATTGTGAAGGAATAATGTACATACATAATTGAGCAGAAGGCTGTTGTCTCTTTAATTTGAATCTAAGTAATAATGTGGTTTGCTTAGATGACGTTTGGTTTTACTTGCTAGCTTATAACCAAATTAAATTTTATCTCAAAAAATATTGCATACCTCAATGTTACTTATGTTTATATCATAACTGACAATTTTTTTATACATTTTGATTATTAGTGTTGTTGTAGTTGTTGCGAATACCGTAAGGTGTTATCTTTTTGTAATCTTATCTTTAAAATAGGTACGTACCAAATTTATACTCTAATGTATGTTGTTGAAAGTTCTATGGTTCTTGATTATAAAAAATAAGATAATTCATTCTGAGTTACTTTTAAATTATTATGACTAATTATTTTAAACAGCAAAAATCAAGAGGGCTTACCAAATTCCAATAACAGAAAGAGAATGCCAATTGGTAGATACATCAGGTAATGCGACAATATTCAGTCTTCCATCTTGATCTAAATGGATGGTGAAATAATCTTTGTCGGTCCATTCTTGCAAATTATTGAAGTAAGAGTTGATAGCCACTGAAGCCTGTGCATCTTGGGTTTGTAAACCAGGTCGTGCGTGCAAAAGAACGTTAGCAGTGGGTAAGTTGATGTTTAAGAAATTGTGGGCTATCATACCCCAACCGTGAGCTGGACCCTCGATAGCGCGGAATTCATTTCTGAAAGAATATTTAAATGTCTGATTATTGATTATAAAGTAAGAGCATTTTCGCGCAGCCTGTTTAAATCTATTTTTATTCATTTCATGAATTTATTTCATACATGGAAAACTTACAGCTAGAAACATCAGTTAAAATGACACAATTAATCATCTGAGAGCCAATTAAAAGTTTTCACTTCGAACTGACAGAAGTTGTAAGTAAATGGGTTAGAAAAACAAAAAAAAACAGACAAACAAAAAGAATTAAAAAAAGAGGTGCAATATGAAGCATAAATTATGCTCACCTACTCGTACATACGAGTATATGCATTTAGGTATTTGCCCCTAAAAGGATAGACAAAGGCGTATTATTTATTTACAACTTTATGCACTTCTTTACATCCTAGGAATTAATGCACTGGGCAGTCTTTACCACCTTTGGGTTGTGTAGAAGTCTAGTAAGATAGGTGCACTTAGGTTACAATTGTAAAAGTAGTTATAAAGCTTTTTACCAAAAATATATAAAAGTAACATATACAATTACAGACATACATATAGTTTGTATACAAGGAGGTGTACTATTGATGAAGTAGTTCTGCCATCTCAAGAACATATTTAATTTTTAAATGAAAATGTGTAAAACGTGTGGACATCTGACTCTAAGTGGCAGCGCAATACTGCTTGCACAAAGAAAGAAGAGTTCACGAAAACGGAATTATGGGAGGGAAAAGGAGAAGCAAATTATTTATTGAGCGAAGATTTCTATCGTGATTAGCGGACAGGAAACACAAATAGGGATAAGGTAAGTGAGAATGGGGAATTGAAGAATGAAAAGACAGTTCTCAGCGCTCGCGTTGGGAACGTGATTGGTAACGTAAAGCAGACACATAACTATACCTGCCAAGATTGAATATGTATCGAACGAAGTTATTAAAAAGATAGTCTAGCTGATTGAGGAGGTCTGCATTCAGGTTAAAATAGCACACATCACCAAAGTCAATTACAGAGGAATAATTAGGGACTGCATGAGAGAGATAAGGAGACAGGAAATTCTTAAGACGGTATACTGTGTGTGTGTAGTTGTAGTACAGTTGGTACAGGGTTTGGATGAATAGGGTCTGGATGAATAGGGTTGGTGACATTACGTATTCTTAATCCACCACACGGACTAAGTAAGTTAAGTAAAAACTAATAAAGAAATGTAATAATGTGATTGTACTGTAATATTAAGAGGTGACTACAGAACTGTTGCTGAAGATTTATCACGATATGTATTAATTCACATTACTGAGCATAACCGCATCAAGTAAATGATCCTTCTGTAGGTGACTGATTATGATAGTATTAATACTGCTTTAAACACTAATTGATACTAACGTGGTGCCTTCCTCCAACTGAGAATTGGACAACAATGTATTAAATTCCACATTATTGTATGTAAACTTTATCACCGCTTGTTCTGTGGGCTCATCCATGCAGGGGAATACTTGTCTTGCATAGGTCGGATGTAAATTCATTGCCAAGTACGAGCTGAAAAAGAAAACAATTGATTACAATAGTCTTAATAATGATTATAATTTTTAATAATAAGATATATTTGGGGCGACCGAATGGCGTAGTGGTTTGTGTAACGGACTGCTATTCCAAAGGTCGCGGGTTCGATTCCCGCTCAAGTCAAGCATTTGTGTGCATGAACATTTAATGTTTGATTTGGTCTGGGTGTTTCTATGTATAATATGTATGTATTTACAAAAAAAAAAAGTATATATAATATTATTTATTATTAAACTGCGACTTAATTACGAGTATTTGACAAGCCGGGAAGACATATTAAAAAAGTATATGTAGTAGTATGATTCCATCAATCACGGGCGTAAACATTATACTCGTACCTAATCTTTTGAAGATTTTACTTCTTTATAGTACAAAAAATTACCAAAAATTGTAGAACTTTCAACTTAAGTTATTTTTTTAAGAAAAGCTGTCAATAAACAATTCTCTTAAGATTTTGTTTGCCAAAACACACACACTCACACACACACACACACACACACAAACACACACACACGCAAACAAAGAAAACCGAAAACTATTCTGTTTATACACTATTTCAAATGCTGCATGATGTTTCATGTTTTTTTTTATTATATAAACATATACCACTACCAGAACAGCATTTAAAATAATGAAAAATAAGGAGAATGGATAAGATTTACACAGATCTAGTCCCCTGGAAAGAGTCCCATCCGTAATGGTTCAAATTTTTATTTTTATTTTAAAGGGGGCAGACGAGCAGACAGGTCACCTGATGGAAAGTGACCATCGCCGCCCATGAACGTCTGGAACTCAGGAGTCACAAACGCGTTGCCGGCCTTTTAGGAACGAGTACTCTTTTTTCTAGAAGCTTTGAAGGTCGACACGTCGATGACGTTAACATTCAACAATTTACAGATTCTTTAAGAAGACTTGGAAATCATCCAAATATATTTCGGGATAAGTAAAGATATTTTTTTTTAGGAAATTTCGATACCTTAATACCTTAATTGCTTTATTTAAAATAAACAAGTTCATTATTTAAGTACATGCACCTACGAGTATATATCTGAAGCGGCAATAAGCGTTTTAAACACCAAAATTTTGCAAACTTTTAATTTTGTAAACCTTTAATAATATGTAGGTAGCAAGAGCATTGCCGTCAAACGGACACTTTTAGGAGTATGTGGTAAAATTGGTAGTTCATAGACAGGAAACTTAGGTCAAGGTAATGCTATGAAGAAAAGGATTGGGGAATACAAGTAACAGTTCAAGCAAGTCAAGGTCGCAAACATGTAACTTTAATGGGCTCTTCAATTTTTTTATGGGATTTTTTAAAATTTAATCGTGTTACATGCTAATCTATAACATGGTTTTAGTCTTATCAGATAAATCGATAAACTTCTAAGCGAATTATGGTTTATAATGCCGGTTTATGGCTGTTTTTTCCTGCTCAGGATTTTGGTTGCGACGAATTTAAGCGTTTAATAAAACTGAGGATGCACTAATGTTCCTCACATATTACGATATTCAAAAAATGTGTTTGGGTTTATAACTTAGATACATAATTGTATTTATCTATCCAATAAATTAAGTAAAGCTTAGGATTATCGCCGTTCCTGCGCAGGATACTGCTATCATATCGAGTTTCGATAATGTCGATCATCTTGAGTATCTGAATGTTTGCGTAAGACTAAACATTATAGCTAACATATCTGTTATCTTGGTATGGGATCGGCGTGCTGATGTCGATCAGTTTTTTAATAATAATATTTTTGTTTTGGATTCGTTATTTTATATCTGTATTTTATTGTAGATCATATTTAATGTTTATTCTTTTATTAAAAATGCTACATACAGGTCCTCAACTTTTACTAGCGCATTTGCGTCTTAATTTTTGGCAGTTAGGTGGCAGGAAGTTCTCAAGGTCAACGGTCAGACAATGTGTTATTTGTTTTAGATTCAAATGTCAAACCTCAAAGCATCTTGTCTGATAATGGCACGAATTTTGTCGGAGCCAAAAATTCTTATACGACTGATCTTCTGATGTTGCATGTGAGATATCTCGTTAAGCAATTAGGTTCTTATTTTTACCTCCATATTCACCTCATTTCAATGCAATGGCTCAGGCAGCAGTTAGCTCCACGAAGCATCATTTGAGAAGGTTGTTAGGTCTTACTAACTTCACCCACGAAGAGTTAGCAACCTGTATGTCAAATCAATCACACCTCTATCCGTTGATCCTTCCGATTTCTCTGCTCTCACTCCTTCCCACATTCTTAATTAGATGACCACTTACGTCTGTACCGTGTCCGCAAATTTCTGAGAAGAAAACTAGCTTCGACCGGTTCAATCGAATTGAATGCATCCGATAGCACTTCTGGCAAAGATTCTCTTATGAGTATGTTTCTTTACTGCAGCAAAAAACCAAGTGGTCCTCATCATCTGGCCAGCTCAGTGCTCGTGCTCCTTCGAGACAGGGCGTTTCCACCGCTTTTTTGGGCTTTGGGTCGCGTGGTGCGTACTTTTCCTGAACGATGTCACAAGAGTGGCTGAATTAAGGACGAAGAGAAGCAAGGTGACCAGTGGGTTCAAAAACATTTGCCCTCTTTCCTTTGGAGAGGTCAAGAGGCGAGAGTACATGTACAGTATTGTAATAATAATAATATAATAATAATATTCTACCACAATCACACAACTATAAATTATTGTAATAAATTATTTTAAAATACAGTCCACTTTTATCTACAACTCCGCTGCAATACTCGAAGCTCAAATACTAGGCACATGAGAGTCCACGGACAAGTTCCAGCCGACAGCTCCAGCACTAACATGAACCATTTCGTGAAATTTAAAATCCCTTCTAACTTAAGATCATACTGATATTTAGATAGAAATTATCAAAATGATAGATAAATAAATTTTCAAATTAAATTTAAGTCAAATAACATTTAAAAATAACTTTTTTTTATATTAAATATTATTAAATATTTTTGAAAATTGAAGTTTCAAGTTCACTTCAAAGTGTACCAGCCGAAACTATGATTACAAATGAAATATAGACGAAAATAAATATAAGAGGATCGACAACAAAACTAGTGTTACGTAACTATGTACTATGCCGGCTTTGGTATATTTATTTATTTATTTTTATTTATTTAATATTTTATACGATCTTGGTAGTCTTAGTAGTAAATGAGACAATCATAGGTTTAGGAAAAATCAAAAGACCACATAAAAAACTGTTGAAAACTAGTACCGATGAAAGTCATTTAACCAAGTATTTCGGAAAAAACATTGAGGGTTTAGTTCAAAAAATATATGTAGTGTCTGTAAGAGATCGCCGTGAGCGATAAGACCGCCGATTGTTACGTCTATATATTTGTAATGTCTTATGTGTTAACTATAAACAATAAAGATATTTAAGTCAGCAAAATCAAGCAATAAGAGAAAGTGTCCCGTGTGCAATGAAATAGAAATTTTTGATTTCTTAACTTGCTGCAATAATGATTATTTTTCTTTGTAAAATATCCTTTATTATTTTCTTATATACTGTTAATAAAAATTATACATTTCTCCGTTTCTATACTAATAAAATAAAACTAAAGAAACGTGTTTGTTTTGTATATTATTTAAGTGCTCATCCCTAGAGCAAGCGGTCAGGTTTGAATAATTATTTTTGTTCATGATAGTGTTCATTGTGAAAGGTTATAATTGCAATGAAATACTTGGGACTTGTCCTGGATAGCCGGTGGGATTTCGGGTCCCCCAGGCTTTTGAATGCCACCGGGGCACTCTCGCGGCTCTTACCTAACTTGGGAGGACCCAATGCATCCTGCCGAAAGCTGTATACGGGAATCGTACGGTCTATAGCCCTCTACGGGGTACCAGTATGGGCAAACACTCTAAGGGCCCGAAATATCGCGATCTTGCGAAGGCCGCAACGTGTAATAGCTATCAGAGTGATAAGAGGGTACCGTACGATCTTCTTCGAGGCGGCCAGCCTATTTGTCGGATCCGGACATGGTTGCTTCGGCAAGTACTTGTGTCGGATCAGCTGATCACTGTGATGACTGTCCTGACAACACATCGCTGCACACACTGGCGGAATGCTCATCTTGTGCTAGCCAGCGTCGTGATATTATCGCGGCAGTCAGTTCTGCGGGTGGCGTCTCGCTTCCGCCCTTGTTTTTATCCATAGTCTGAAGCGAGAGTGCATGGAGTGCCTTCGCTTCCTTCTGCGAACATGTGATGTCCACAAAGAAAGCGGCAGGATGGGAGAGAGAACGCAACATCGCTGTCTCTACCCCCAGAAGGCGCACCGGACGCCGGAGGGCATTCGTCGATCTCGAGCCACCTTAGGAAGTGGCCTGCGGGCGACGATTTCGGGGGATTCGTCGTCCGAACAGATACAGGCCCGAGAGGTAGCGCACAGTGTTCCGTGTGCGTTCCTAGAGGATTGCGACCGAAGGGTGAACAGGTGACGAGACCCGTCTTAGTTCACAGTCACCCGACAGGCATTGGCCCGTCTCACTTAGGTGAGACGGGCCAATGCCTGTCGGGGTGGCGAAAGAATGCAATTGCGATTCTCGCTCACTGACCATTGGCAAGGAGAGGAACACCGAGGTGGTTTTTAGTCGGTAAGAGTCCAACAGACCCTTTCGCCATTCCCCATTGGGCGAAGCACATCCATTAGGATCTTCCGCCCCGTTAAAAAAAAAAGGTTACAATTAAGCTCTATGATAATATAAATATTTTAAACATAAATTAATTTTAGAAATTCATTAATGTTTTATACATTATATTTTCATTCATGACCGAAATAAAAATGTATTTAGTTATGTTATGTGTATTAAAATACAAAATAGAAGAGACAGAAGCATCTGCCAAGACCATGCTTTAGTTCTAATTTAAGGTTGTCTATAATTATCTTTTAAGTTTGATTTATACTCTGTATAAAAACTAGAAATTTCTAAAATAAACATCTTATTAAAAGT